AGGTGCATATCTCAGATAACCTAACAGACTTTTTCTTTGACTGGTTCAGGCGGAACTTGCAGTATTACAGTGATTTATTTTTGCATGACTTGTGTTCTTTGTTTTGTTTTTTGTTTTTGTTGTTGTTTGTTTTGCTCAGAGTGAGACTACAATTCTTCTTTTAGTGTCACAGAGCTTCCCATGCATGCTTGCTTGTAGCTTCCTGCAGCTTGCCTGACCCACTGAATGCGCCGCTGTGTTCGTAAATGGACATGGCTCCTTCTGCTGTAGGACAATGCACATTTTGCATTTCTGCGGAGGTAAGAATTAACAATGTATAATGAGAAATGTATCCAAATCTTTACTTAAAATATTTATTAATATAAAAATAAAATGCTAATTAATTGGGGAATAAAATATTTAATAACAAATAATCAACAATAATTATTAAAGATTTTTATTATTGTCATGCTCTGTGGATCTTGTCCCCAATGTAACATGTTTTTAACTGAATCATTCCTCTTTATAGTCGCAAGGCCAGTCTGAAGGACAAGGTGTTTCCCAGTCCTTCCAAGGCTTCCCTGGCCAAGGTCAAGGTCCAGTCTCCAGGGCCAGAGGAGGGTCCTGAGGCCAGTCCCAGCAAGGTCAGCAAGAGCTGGAGCTTCACAGAGAAGAACCGAGGTCCAAAACACGCCTTCAAAGGTCGGGGTGGTCCACTGCGTCAAAACTCTGAGGGTGAGACAACTCCACAGCTTCACCAGAACAATGGACATGATTCAGGGGCTGGAGTCAGAGCTCTGTGTGAGCAGATGTTTATGGGAAAAAAAAGCTTCATTCTCACTGGAAAAGAAAGTAATAGAAGTAGAACTTGTTTAATGTAATCAGTAGAGCTGTAAAATTATTTTAAAAAATACTGTGATTAAACACATTGTAGCTGAGGATTAATTACAATCATTGGAGATTTATGACAGGTGCAATCAACCGTGATTAATCAATTATATTTGTGACTAATCCAAATGGTGACATCATTCATATGGAGAAATATCAAAATTATGATACAAAAATATAACGTTTTATAGAGTTTGTGGATTTTGATCATTACTGTGCATCTTGACAGTTGTCCTCAACAACATTAACCAGTCTACAGTCCTACTGTGTCAGTCCACTTGTCAGCCCTAGACCTATTTACAGCACTGAGCTCGGTGAGACTGGTCTGACCAAAAGTTGAAGACTTTTCACAATGCATGCACGTTAAGATGGATTTTTAAGCTAGGAGTGCTCTATTCTTGCAATATGTGCAAAAAACATGTCTATCCACTGTAGTATACCTAAGGGTAACAACAATGACAACACAATAATAACTATTGGATGACAGTGCTATGCAGTTTAACTTAATGGTAAAGTAAAATTTTAAGCTTTTATTTTATTCTTATTATTTATTAAGGTTTCTGTCAGGACTCAGATTCAGGTGGTTTTTTATTTTGAGTGTTGTTACAGTGCTACTAGAGCTTTAACTTTACTAATGTTACAAAGTCATAGAGCAGCTGCAGCGCTACAGTATAACATTGAACTCCATATACAACAATAACTAACACCGGACGATGTTGTCTTTTGTGTCCACTTTTATATATTTACTGCCACCGAGACCAATTACAGTCATACAGTACATCAACCAGGGACACTACATCTACAAATATATCAGTCACAGGCAACATTTTGTTTACTGTCTTGTCAAAAAAAAGAAGAAAAGATTAAAATGCAGCACATTGACTTTGGACTGACAAGTCCTCCTGGTTGGACCAGTTGTCTTAACCTTTCATGTGGTAAAAGACTTACATTAAAGCAGTGAATACAAATGCAAGAGAAGAGAGCTCTGCCCTTTTTTCAACATGATGAGTCCACATGTTCCCATGTTTGTCTGTACAGTAACTCAATTTGTCCACCATTGTCATCATACTGAAATCCATAACCGGTCTTTCTCCATGTCTCTCCTGTCTCCCTCTTTTGCAGCAATTGAAGGTTTAATAAGTAAGATATTGGGTTGATATTTTGCTGGTTTCGCCTTTACAAATAAAATTGAAGTCACTTTCACCTGTGTGACAAAGTTGCATGCTGAAATCTGCTGAGATTTGTTCACTTGACATGAACCCTTTTATTTAGACTCTCTGTGAAATGCTCAGCATTGGAAAAGCTGAGGCAAACTTGTTATTATTCAGGACAGTGAAGGTTTTATTCTGGTTTCAAGTCAAGTGGTGCCAATTGAATTCAATGTGGACTCAAAAGCCCAAATCCTTTGCTTTAGGTTGCATGAAGAGACCTCACTTTTCCTACCAAATTCCTACCTTATCTCAGATCAGCAGTGATCACACCTTTGAGTTTTAAAATCTGGCTAAAGTTAACATGCTAATGTACAAAGGTTATATTCTGAACTGTGATTGGTGGTGGGAAGAGAGAACTTGTCAAGAAGAGTTTGAAAAAACAAAAAAAAGAGCTTTATTCCATCGGCACTATCCTTCAATTCTGCACCCAGTCTCTCTTCTGTTGTTTCACAAACGCTCGCTCACTGCACATACAAACACTAATTCTGAATCATCAAATCTTGCACCCTTGAAGCTCCGAGCAGCTTTGCTTCTAACATTGCTGGTGCTCTGGAGGAAGTGGATGAATTATTGTTGAAGGATGTTCTTGTCCTTGCTCTGTAGAGGCGAGTCTTCCTGGAGAGGAAATTGGTGACGATAAAAGCTGCCACTGTGAGTTTCTCACTCAAGAATTACCTCCAGGATTGAAGGTTACAATAAGGGCAATCTGGTAAGGATTTGATTTACTGCGCAGTTCTGGCCAATAAATCTGTTTTAATTACTTCAGAAGAAAAGGTGTCGTTAATGTAACACTATGTCTGCAGATCATGTGTGGGTAATGTGTGTCTTCTCCTAGTGTCATGAAGTTCCTGGTGTCAAAGAGAAGATTTAAGGAGAGCCTGAGACCATATGATGTCATGGATGTGATAGAGCAGTATTCTGCAGGTCACCTGGACATGCTGTCACGCATCAAGAACCTGCAGTCCAGGCAAGTCCACCTCTACTGTTCTAGAACATTTTAGTTGTATTATTGACTCCTCAAAACCTCCTCCTTGAAAAAAGATTTTTTATGTTTTAAAATGTGAAAGCAGATATGACACACAAATGCACAGTTTATAAAGGGTTCATGACCTTAGTGCCGCTCATCAGGGTATCAGCAATATCAACTATGACAAAAAAAAATAAACCAGACAGAAACAAAATAGAAAGTAACTGAATATTTTAGTTTTGAAGTATTCTACAGGGAAACTAAGTGTTACAACACTCATCTGGGATTGCTAGATTCTGTATCTAAATATATCTATGGGCAATTACTTGTTCTGGCCACAAAGGTCCTAAATATAAGCCTACATAGACTGTGTCACCCTAGAGGCCCAGTTTAAGTATGTCAGGATAGGGCAAACACTATATAGTATTTCACTAATACATTTCCCCATAGTGTTAACAAAAACTTTCACTTTCACTTTTGATCATTTTTCATTAAACTAATTTATTTCAACAATCACCGTCTTTTAGGGCCTAAACATGTTTTGTTTAGATCCCAATTTTCAGCTCGGGGAAACAGAATATCAGGCTGATACATGTGGTAAACAGTACTCAGAGGTATCTCTGAGCAGTCTTGGTCCACTGATCACTCAGTGTGTCGGTCCTAGCTTACAGCAAATTTTATTATGTTTATTTTTTGTGTGTCGGTGGATACACACATGTCGTGACACATATCATTGATTTTTTTGCCTGTTTCATTTGCTCGGCCACATGTGTTGTATTCAGATACCAGTTCTTTCCAACCTGTGATCTGTCCAAATACTGTACCACTGGCTTCCTCAATCCCAACGACTGCACCTGTGATTCATTTACGATAAGACATTGATGTATAATTCACACTGTTTTCTGTATCAGTTTTCCCTCCCACAAATGACTTCCTCTCATCCAGATCCCCAGAAGGTCAAACATGTTGGATAAATATATTCCAACAGTGAAATACATACACTCCTCATCCACAGAGCAAGTCAGACTCACTGTATGCCTTGAGTGTGTGGAACATATGGAAACTTGTTGTCCATAGCTGATGTAAATGCCACGTTGCTCCATTTTGCATTGCACTCATATCGTCTCTGTGTGCCTTGCCAGGATAGATATGATTGTGGGGCCCCCTCCCCCATCAACACCACGCCATAAGAAGTCCACTGAAGGTCCTAGGTTAGGTCATTAGACTGCACCTCTGAAAATGACCATTTTACCAGCATTATGTCACTTACACAGTAGATCAGATGTCAAAGCAGTTACATACTCTTTTATTGTGTTTGGTCAACACCGACCACTTTTGAGTTCATGCCATGTGACCTGTTTCATTGACCTGAGGGAAACATGATGCACAAATAGAATTGATATGATGTTTATAGATCAATGGAAGTTAGCATTTGTCCTAACAACACATAACGGTAAAAACTAAACACTGAGTCGATATTAATTTAACATTTATCTATGAATACATGTATGTGTTTTACTAGCCTGCATGCAGTCCAGATCTGGCTCTCAGCACAAATGCCGGTCTTTTCATGAAGACAATTAGAAAAAATTAGACAATGTGATCCAGGGTCTGTGGAGCAGTTCAGGTTTTTTATGTACTAAGAATAGTTTGAAGAACTGCAACATGTTGTATTGTTATTTACCTGTTAAAGTGTAGCAATTAATCTACTCTGTTAATAAGTTATTAAATTAAGATTCAAGTCAATTTAATCATCAAGTTAAAACTAAACAGTTTCCTCACTGAATGTAAATGAGCTACGTCACATGGTCTGACTCAACAGGGGTTTTGACAAAAGTAGATGCCTGCTGTCATACTGGACAGACGTAGTGAGAGCTCCGCTGGTAGGATGCAATGAAAATGAAGCATGACGCACAAAGGAAAAGCATGCAAAGTGATGCATTTTGTCCCAAAAATAACTGGATAGTCTCTGTTTTGGTAGCCTGCCCTTCTGTCCTAATGCATGTATCCACACTGTCATCACACCTGAAATCAGACTCTCAGTGTCATCCATTCATTCAGAAACATTTACTTGTAGCCTTGAGATTATTATTCACAGAAATGCTTTCTTTGCTCAGTTTCCATGTGAAAGTCATTCATACACTGGCATCATGACACGATATTTCTCTGTGTTTTTCCTAAATATTCAATTTAACTTTTCCCAAACTCTAGAGTCGACCAGATAGTTGGCAAAGGTGCAAAAGGTGAAGGAGAAGCTGAGGACCAGAGCATGATGGGACGTCTGGTCAAAGTTGAAAACCAGGTTGGCATATCTTACCCTGGGTCGGAGTATTTGGAGGTCACAGGGTTCCTTTCAAAGGAAATTTTAAAAAAAAGAGAAATTGCTGCAAATAGAGTATTTGCAGAAACACTGCAGAGTGATAAATGAATCAGCCACTAGGTGGCAGCAGGAAATAAGGTTGATTGATGAGAGTATTATATCTTCTTTATATATTATATTTTATATCTTTATATATTATACATTATATCTTTTATTGGATGTACTATAACCAGAGACCTATGTCTCCAACCACATCATGCATGGTGTGTAGGAAAAAGTTGTCCAACAGTGCTATAAAAAGAAGCTTCAAAACAAGAACTGGGTCTGTGCAAAAACAGTGATGACTGTCCCAGGCTAAAGAGTGTATTTCAGTAACACCTTGTTTGGTGGTGTGCTACTTTAAAATAGATGAAAAACAACAACAACAACAAGCATCATTCAAATTTGACTTTTTCGATTTCATTTCATTTTCTTGTGTATTCTCCTGCAGGTGGTCTGCATGGACAGAAAACTCGACTTCCTCGTCGGTGTGTACCTGCAGCGAATGGGGATCCCTCGCTCCGAAACAGAGGCCTTCTTCAACTCCAAAAATTCATATCCAGCCCCACCCTACCACAGTCCAGAGGAGACAAAGGAAGAAGAAAAAGAGGAGGTGAAGGAGGAAAAGGAGGTGAAGACATGCTCCCCTGCAGATATTCCCTGCTCTGATGGATCACTGGAAAAGAAAGATCCTTTACTGGGTCGATCTGTGGCCAGGTCAGTGGGCACTCCCTCTGGCAGCCGCCCCTCTACCTCTTGGCAGCACCAACTCCAGCACCCCCTCAGCCAGCCTGCCTGGAACAGCAGCGTGGCCAACACCCCTTCACCTGTCGGTGGCAGCTGTGAGCACTCACCCACCCTGTTTCGCCTTCCTCCTCCCCCGGTTCATGACCGTTCATCCTCATACCTGGGCGGCAACAGCAGAGAGAGCATCTGCCAGAGCAGTAGGCGCCACAGGAGGCAGGGGTATCAGCAGGATGCCACGGCTGTGGAGAGCGACACGTCCCTTTCCATCCCGTCTGTCGACCACGAGGAGCTGGAGCGCTCTTTCAGCGGCTTCAGCATCTCCCAAGCCAAGGAGGATTTCTTTGGTCCTTCATTCTTCACAGGCTCAGGTGGTGGAGTAGGAGCAGGGACTGAAGCTGGGCCTGGGAGTTCACTCTGTGCCAGAGTCAGACCCTTTATAGCAGAAGGTGAATCAGACACAGACTCTGACCTGTATGCACCCTCACCTCTGTCCTTCACTGGGGAGATGGTTGGAGAGAGGGGTTGGCCTGGACTGAAGTAGGTCTGTGGAGAAAGAAGGAGCTTCAGTTGCCAACGAGAGACCTGTCATGAGACTGTGTAGCCACATTATTATTATTGCTGTTACAATTTCAGAATATCGTAGATTTAGTGAATGTTTACGTTCAGCTTGTTGATCAAGAAAAATGGTAAAAAAAAAAATGTTAATGGTATTTTTTTCTCATTATGGTACTCTGGTTACAGTTTATGATGTTGCACCTTCACAGCACTGCATAATTAAAGTTACACAAAAAATTTTACACATTTTTTTACCTAATCGGGACCTGAGCACCGACAAGATCACAATGTGATACAGTGACATCAGAGGCCCTTCCTGCGTCTGTGAGATTATATTTTCATGATTTCTCTAAACATAAATATGGAAATTCGTGGGAAATTTGGGCAAAATTAAACAGAGATAATTGTTCTTTAGGGTTAAACCAACATGTTAAAGTGGACTCTGGATTTGACATGACTGCCATCTGTTGGTCATTTTATCCCTTCAGTTGCTACTAATCTGTAGTGTCAACTAACATTTGATGAGAGTAAGTACCACAGTTGCTTCAACTTTAGAGTCAAAGTACTAAACATACTGACATAACAATATGCATGTTGACATAAAAAGTGGTTAAAACTAAAATTGAAATTAGAGGCAGCCATCTTGGGTGTCAATTCAAAATGGCCTCAGTTTCTGTCAGTTTGTATGACAACAATTAAAGTAAATGTTCTATGAAGATGTAACTGTTCCTACCTGTGTGAGGAGGTGCTCAGGCCCAGTGGATGCTGCCTGCAGCCCCAGTGTTTTGTTCCCCTTGTTTCCTCTGATGACACAGACATCAATGAGAGTGTGGCACTCATAGTTTTGCATTGAACATGACATTGATTTCAATCAAAAAAAAAAAAAAACGAAATAAGGCATTTTCTTTACTTTAGCATTTACATGAACTTTAGCAGATCTTTAGTTCAACTCTGACCACTCGAACATTGGAACAGTGGCCGTTAGTGAGGCGAGATTGTTAGGCTATATGTGGTTAGCATAGTGTCTTGATAACTTCTATACCTTTGATAACATGAGGTGTTATGATGCCAAAAAAGAGTAAAATGCAGCTACAATGCAATACAATACAATTAGATTCTTGCAAAACTAAAAAGAAAGTGCCCGCTTCTCAGCATCATTGATTTAGCCTGATGTTTCCTGAACTACTGAGAGGAATTCCCCTGACAGTCTTGCAGCTTCATCATTATTCATCAAGCAGTCAACGCAGTCAATGCATGGCATGTGAAGTTGTCCATTCGTGGACTGTGTTCACAAAAGTGAACAAACATTGGTAAAACGCGGTTCATTTTCCCCACTTTTGTTTCTGTAAAGACAGTCAGTTGTGAATAGAAACATTAAACCTCCTGACTGGAGGTGGTTTGACTGGTTTCAAGCTGCAGTTCATTTTTAGGCAGCTTCACTTGAATTCCAATCATGTGCAGCCTGTGCTAAGTTCAAGACATTTTCCTTTCACAAAAAAGGGAAAAACTATAGACATAGAGGTGTGTGTATGGACGTTAGCTCCCACCTTTTGTATTATTTTGCACACTCGGTGACTAAAGTGCAAATGTTGGACTGAGCAGTTCCTGGTGAGACGTGAAGCATTTTGGCAACAAATGTTTCATGTCAACATCTCAACATTCAACAATGAGGAAGATGCAATAAAATTGGAGCGTGAGCTGCCCATTAACAACGATATCAACATGGCCTTATTTTCACACCAAAATCCATTGTTTTGTGAGTAAACAAGCAGTTTGACTCTGACTACTTCATGAACCATTGCTGGTGTTTCCACACAGATGAACCTTCTCTGTGTCCTGAGAGTGGATGATTAAAGTTTTACAAACTCCTGGAATTCAGGGTGGGCATGTACAGGCAGCATGAAGAGGTGGAGTAACAAATTATTGTCACTAGTCAAAGTTAAGTTTGTTAAGACAGACAGATGGACATGATAATGGAAACACTGTAAAAGCTGTTCATTCACATCCATATTTTTCTGAACAGAAGTGAGACAGTCTGTGTCTGACGGGCTTGTACACTCCTGACCATGAAACAGCACCACGTCATGTAACTGCACTCTTTTCCTCTTCAATAATAAAACTTTGTACATCAACCAAGGGCTTATCTTTAAAAACATTTAAACAGCACCGTGAGTGGACCGGCAGTGAGATCAGATGTAATGATGTTCTGTTCTCACTAGATGGCAGTAAAGATCTATTTGATAGAATTACTATTTTAGGCTTTGAGGAAGACGAAGATATAGACGTGGTATTTTAATCTTCTGATTAAGTTTCGGCATCAATGTTTTGACTTCTCCCAACTATTAATACTTAGCCTTGTTATTTTTACAAAAACAGCCCCCCCCCCTCCCCCAGGCCCCCAACTGACAGTATCATTGGCCTTTGTGACTTACACTTGTATCTGTTACCCTACAACTAGACTAGCCTGACCCTAGTTTAGCTGTCACTTTTTGCAATATTGTGTTTTGGTCAAGTGGTCAGATAAACCATTACAGCTTTACAACTTCACAGCCACACTGGTCTAACATGCAGTTGCAGGCTGTAGACTGCAGGGTGTACAGCAGCTGTGTGTCCACACGCCTCTATGGTGTAAAACTGAGCTGTTTTATTACTTTGTAAATTTTTACCTGCTTTTCTCATGCAGCTTTTATTTGACAACCAATATAACAAACCTTGTTGATTATGGTGCTCAACCTGGGGTCAGCTAATTTGTTAAGTGTTGTGAGAGCAGGGTTTTCATTGAAAGGGCGATACAAACTGCAATTGATTGGCTCATTTATAAAAGTCAAATGATGGCGACACAGCACATATACACTGTAGTGAGGCTAATTTACCCAGTGGAGAATTGACCACCGGTAGCACAAAACAAAGGACATACATCCAGCAAGGCCAGGCAATGTGAGTCATTTACAGTTTTCTGTGCAATGCTTCCAGGCAGTTACAGAAATGCTGCATGGCAAGAATGCCTTCATGTATATTATATTTTGAAGAACATGTAGTAATATATACACAAACATGTGTTGTCAATAGATAAAATAGATCCACACAAACCAGATTTTACTGAGATGTTTTTCAATGAAACTATTAGAATATCTAAGCGTTTCAGCCCATCCTCATCAGCCAGCTCTTTAACTTGAGCCTGTCCAAGATTAGTATTTAAACAGAACCATTACAAAAGTGAGGGTCGCTGACCTCTTTGTGATGAATGATAAGAGCTAACAATCAATGAGACCATTAGTGATCTGACAGTTATGAGAGAATGTTCTAGCGGGGAAGGACAGATGGACGCCATGTCTCTTTGTTATGGCATGTACCGAGCACCGTGGACAGAAATGCAATAAAAAATGGGACTCTACCACGGTCCTCCCTGTTCACCTCCCCTCTCCACTGATTTCACCTTCTCATGAGAACAAATGACACTGATGCCCTGCACAACGGCCGCACATGACATGTACAAAAACGACCTTCCCGTATGTGCGTTCTCTCTTAATGAGCAGAGATTAAATATAAAATCGTAATTTGTTTTTTACAGCAGAATCCACTCTGTGTCCTTGAACGCAACCCTGTTTGTGCAGTCAGAGAGAATCTGCTCTAGGTTCAGATTTTTTTTTATGTACATTGTTAGTTAGCAGACTAAAGTCCACCAGGGGCAGTCATGGACAGCCTTCATTTGTCTTTATATCTTTTTCATGACACACAAACACACAAAGGTAAAACATGTGTAAGTCCGTAATAACTGCGGGTGTGGGGATGTAACGATCGTGTAAATATAACCAGTTAACTGAGATTTATTACACAATGGCTGCCTTTCAGACGACAAACCAAACATGTGACCATTGATATGGGTTCACTGCTGAATCAATATGGCTTTGATATTCACATATGAATGGACCTTAAAACACCAGCACATGAAAAGATTTTTTTTCAAGGCCACAGGCTGCTGTGAGCAGCACCACAGTTATAACCTTGGATACATCCAAATGCACAACATTTGAACACCTGTTAAATAATAATAAAATTAGATCCAATTAAGCAATATTATGACAGATTATTAAAACTTCACTGCAACTATATTTTAGTATTTAAGTCTCATTAGACAGATGTATGTAAAAATAATGTTATAAATAATGTAAAATCATGAAACAAAAGAGAGAACTGCTCTCATGGATTAAATGTAATTTGTATTGTACATGATATAGTTGCTGTTTATTTTAAAGTTAGCAAATAAACAATATGAAAAAAATAATACAATGTGCAAAACAAACAAACAAGGCTCTGAAGGGTGAACTAAAAGTCTACGTTAAAATATTTTATACAAACTTTCTCTCCGTGGTACAAACATTTTGTCATTAGTATTAAAGTAATTTATTATAGAAAGAAAAGTCTAAACCTTATCCATCTGCCATAATGGGCCCTCGTTCCTGACTAATCAATTTCTCACTCCTGAATTTTTTTTTTAACCTGAGCCGATATTTAATTTTGTTTAATAAAATATCAAAAATATGTTCCAGGCCAATACATTGAAGAGAAAAATGATTTGTAAAAAGCCAATTAAGGATAAAGAGTTTGTCATTAATCATCAGACAATTAACAAATCAAATTGAGTGTTCTGTCCCTCAAGGCCTCTGCTTAGAGCAAAACTAGATGTTCATTAACTGCAGCCGAGCAAAGACATAACAAATGTGTTCACACAAAACCTGACAGGACAAATTAACCTGCTGTAACAGCCGACATTCACCAAAATCATACACACACAATTTACTGTTTGTTTCAAAAATTTGATTTGTGTTGACTTATAGACAAAGATAAACTAGTTGCATATTTAAATAAATGACTTTATCTGTACATTGGTGGTTACCCTGATTAGTAACACCAAAGTCAAACAGAAATGAGAAAACCACAACAGCAGCAGGAAACACACATACACCCCTGCCCCCCCCACACACACACATTCACCTAAGTGAAAAGCACTGAATGATGAGAGTTGAATTTTTTTTTTCAGAGACAGAAATGTCCGTTAATGAATTTTTCCATTTATCTATTCATTATAATTTAATTGAATCCCTTTACCTTGTGCCGTTTATTTTCTACACACTCACACAGTTTAATCTTTGGTGAGATTTTTTTTCTTTCCAAGGACATGGATCAAAGGTGCTTCACCTTCGGCTAGAACCAATTTTAAAAGGAATCATCAAATATATTTTTTAGGTCCACTGGTGAAAGTTGTCTGTAGAAAGTCAAAAAATGTTTTTCTTTCTGTAAAAGTGCATGCAATATTTCTTATGCGTTTTCCATTAGTTTTACTTCTGAAATTTTAAAAACAATTTGCACCACCTTATAATGTTGTAATTTGTCTGACAGGGTTATACAACAATCTGTATATAGTTTTTAGTACACTGGCCTGTCAGTAAACACACAGAAGTATATTTAAGTAATACTGTCGTTTGATTGTGTTCTTGTCAAGGTGTCCATTTGACAGCTGTTTTATTCCACTTTTTTTTTCTCAATCCTAAAGTTCCACACCTGACCACTAGATGGACTCTAGTTTTACAAACCTGCCTCAACCAGAGCGACACACCTGTATGTCGATGTCTTTATTAGCAACAAATGCCGTCTGTTCTGATCGTTCAGACGTCTCCACACACTGCCTTGACACCGACACATGTAAGTCTGCTTCTGTCTTCACCTTTACTTCTTCTGTTAATGTGTGTTTACACGTGTTTCCTTTAAGTGTGAAACATGACATGAGTGAAGGGCAAACAACGAGCCTAGCATTTAACAATGCAACACATTTAAAAAACAAACAAACAAACAAACGACAGTATAGCTTTTAAAAACACAAATAATGGGTTTCAATTCAGTTACATTTGTACTTCCAAGTACTGTATAGACATTAAATTAAGTTTCAGTGTTTACATTTACTGGTGTAATTAAATCTAATGTAACATATGTTTAGCCCTGTGACCTGACAATTGACTAAATAATCAGACAGAAATGTTGTGTATTTTATTTGGTTTTCTTGGTAAACGTCATGGTTGAAATGTAATTATTTTGATTTATAAGCTACCATTTTTAAGCCTTAATTTATCTCAGTCTGTTGTGATTACACATAGTTTAATTTGAAGATTTGTAGTTTAAAATGCTGAGTCATCTCCTATTTTCTATCTATCTTATTTAAGTTAATGCAGTGAATCTTCTTCACTGTACTTTAAAACACTCTTCAGGAATGTGTGTGACTGCAAACTGAAGTACATGGCACAGAACTGTAGTGGTACAATGTGTGCGCTTATTTGCAGGTGACAAAGTAAAAAAATAAATCCCTGATGTGTTTTCTGTGACATTTCCCATCTCTGTAATGTTATTCATAAAAGCAGAGGCAGCCTGTGTTAAATCAGATCAAGGTTGCAGGAGAATAAAGCAGTCGTGGCTGAATGACTAGTCCTTCACTTGTGCTCAGCAGATTTATTGTGAATACAGGTAATGACAGTCGTATTTATCTCTTAGTTCAGAAGTGAAGTTGTTTTCTCCACAGAGATATGCAGTTTGCCCGTCTATAGGAGCTGAGTTTGTCTGATAAAGCTTTTATTTGAAGTGTTCCTTTTAAGCTACCGAGGTTCAAGGATAGATGGATATAATGGATGGAAGTTAAAAGTTGTTCAAAACTTCAACATAAAAAATAACAAAAAATGTTCTGTCGGTTCTTTTTTTCCCTCTTCAGCTGTAGCTGTTTGAGGAGGAGATGTTTCTGAGTATTCGCTGGAGCTGAACTTTTCAAAGTTATACCAAGTAAGTGAAGTTGACAGATACGAATTTCATCCATTACAGTGTGTGTGATAATGATGAAGTTATTAAAGTGAGGATGACGCTGGTGATTGAGATGATGGTACGATTATTATGATGCTGACCACATGTCAATTATGATGTCAGTGTAAATAAATAAATAAATGAATAAATATATATAAATATATATATATATATATAAAGACGACACCATTGAAAGTGGTGATGCAATGGTGACAGAGATGATGCAATTGATGGTGATGACAGTAATGATTATGGTGATTGTGATTCTGATAGTGATGCTGTGAGTGATGGTGATCATGGTGACCTGGTGGTGACATCATCGATTGTAACAATGCTGATAATGGCAATAGTAATTGTAATTATGGCGATTATAACAGCAATGGTGTCAGTGACGGTAGTGGTGATGATGATGGTGATATTGGTGATGTACTTAATGATAATGACTCATCCCACATAACTGGCCAACCTTTCCTCCTAAAATCACACTGCAGCTCACGTAGTTAATATTTGGCAAATGTCTTAAGCTACTTAAGATTAAAAGGTCCTTCGTCATGGTCTCTGATCTTCAGAGTACCCCACAGATTTCTGTGAGAGGAAGCCAACAGTTTCTTTGGCATCTGCATATAGTTCTTTACCTGTTTTCAGAAATTACTTGTGTTTCAAGAGAAAAAAAACACCAAGATGACATTTTAATTTAGGTTTTATTTTAAAATCTTCTCATGTGTTCTCTTATTAAGTCCTTCTATCAAGGGAATTTCTTCATCTACCGAAATATTTGCTTATAAGAACTGTAATCCTTAGATCATATAACTGTCTGTATCATCTTTTTTGTTTTGTGAAATAAAGTTGATCTTAGTTGGCAAACTCAGTTCATTCTGGTCAGGACTCAGACCGTCTTTGGAGACACTGTAATACCAGAGTGAACTCCATCATACAGTACGTCAATACGATCTTATCAAACTTTCAAAACATACATACTCGTGTATTGTAAAATATTTCTCTTCTACTTTGTGTATCACTTAGAGATTACAAAACATTTACTGCTGTTCTCTTTCATACTATTTCGTACATATACATCATACATTATATACTTTTTTTTCTGAAGTACAAACAACAAAGTTATTTTGTGTTTTTTTTCCCATGATGCTTTCATCTGTGACAGATCAGACCCTAAGCTTTTTTAGGGTTTTTTTTTATGGTGGTGAGGTGAAGGGATTCATTTGCATCTACAAATAAACGTCACTTCAAATGTGAATTTAATGGTTCAAAGCATCACTACAATAAAACCATATTTCTATTTATGCCAAGGTTCATGGGGCTTTAATCAAAAGCCTAAACCGTACTTATTGGCATGAATAAAGCTGAGTTAATAACAGTAATTCTGCCATGCTTTGTATTACCAGCGATCTGTATGTTAAAATCAGCTTTTGTCACAAGTCTACAGTACATTCACTGCTATGTGTTGCAGTGTAATTTGTTTTTGCTGTGAACCACAGTTGTATTGCTGCAGTTCCTATATCACTGCTGTAATTATACCAACCATAAGCAGGAGATGTAGTTATCTTAGCAAAGCTCTCACTATTATGAAAAACAGGAATCAGCTAAACAAAGGAGGGAGCTGCCGAGTCCATTGAAGCCACTCTGTGTAGCTCAATAAATCCTTCTCAGCAAAATGAGCAAAATATAATTGAACTCTGAGCAGACAAAGAAATAATGCTGTGAAAGCACTCTAAAAGTAAAGTTTTCAGCTGGTTGTTTATAAGAGGAATAGTAATTAACACACTTTCATCCTGAGCACTCGTCATAACACAGCAAAGATCCAAACCCTGGAGAAGCCAGTGCACAGATAGATTGGTGAACTGGAAATGCTCTTGGGATGATGTTGACCTTCATGACTGTCCGAGGTAAATAGATTTTATCATGAGCCACATATTGCACCACCAGATATGCTACAGTAATCATGGAATATATTTTCAGAGACTCTTTTGATGTTACTTTAAAGAAGTATTTTTTGACAGACATCTGGAAGAAATTATCAGAATTTGAATTGTGTGCCGACAATCTGTCAAAACACACACTAATGACAGCTCTTAAAGAGTTTATTATTAGTGTTTGAAAAACATATTTTCTCTTGGTTTTTATGGTGGTGCAGTATCATGGTGATTATTCTTTCATAGTATAGAGACATGGCTCCGTCCCAATTTGTGTCCATGGTTCTAGGCTGAAAAAAATATCGGCAGCAACTCAAACTGCTGAATGTCCTCTTTAAAATTAAACAGTTGACTACAAGTATCTTCATGGAGATGTTCTTTTTTTATATCTGCATAATAAATTATGCAGGAATTTTGGATCAGTGTTTGCACTAGACCATGAATTCAGTAAAGTAATACCACATTATGATATACGTTATGTGATTGTAAACAAACCTAACGAAAAACCTATTTAGTACTGGGTACTACATCAATTTTTTTATTGTGTGAACAACATGAATTGTGATATTATTTATTTTTAATGCACCATTTTCACATTTCTCTGTGCTAAGCACTGAGCTAATCCTAACCTTTCTCTTTTGTGACTCCTTTACCCCATCCTTCACCCCATAGAATCATAGACATCATAGAATCCCTCACTACACTTATCTGTTAAGATTTACTGACAAAATTTCCTTGCAAAATTCATATAACTAATAAAGGTCTCGCGCTACCTCTAAGGACCACTGTGTCAGACTTCATTACTTTAAGCTCTGTCTTCCTGATAAACTGAGCACTTAGTTTATGAAATTGTACAGAAAGTCACTCATTCATCTTTCTCATGCTTTAGACAGATCAATTTTTGTCCCCTCTACATTGGGTTTGGGACACAGCGATGACCCCAGAGCAGCACTCCAGAGTGGCTGTGAATGCATTGTAGCCGTCAGTGAGATTACATTCATTCATTAGTATTCAGTGGGAGTAGCCGGGCTGATCCACTTTGCCTCAGGGAATCCTTACGTAGGAGCTTGGAGTCAGATAGAGGCAGTTTGCAGTATCTGTATGTTTGACATAACCTTGTCTTATCTGAGATCATAACGTCATTAATAAAGCGTCTTGCTAACCATCAACTTCCTGGATTAGAAAACGATTTCCACTTGGCAATTTCATGAATTAGGTAATGAAAATATGAAGAACAGGTCATGATGTGCAAGGTGGTGGTAGAGTGGGGTCACTCAATAAAGCTCACTTTGTTGCTAGCAGTTTATCATTAGCATGTTCCAAATATGGGGAATTAAAGTAGTAATTGAGGGTCACAGAGTGTAAAAGTAAGAATGTCTTCTCTTATCTTCATACACTGTGAGTACAGTTTGGTATTTTCTATTCTTCAGGGCTTTATTCAGTCTCTAAGCACAATTTAACATTTAAATGTCTTGATGCCGTGTTGATCTTATTATATTGGCAATATGGGGTTGGTATTTCCAGATATATCAGAAGATGAATTGTGTAAAGACCACATTGATTAGAAGAAATGCGACATTCTCAGTAAACCATTGTTTTTATGAGGTGCGGTCTTCAGTGAGAAGGTCAGAGTGGATGGTTCAGAAAAGTAATCAGTCAATTTGAAGAAATCTAAATGTGGGTGACATTAGCTTCTGTGACATGAAGCTCACATTGGAGAGAATGTCAAGGAAAACATGGTAAATTCAAGGTTTTCAGTGACTTGATTCTTTGGGAATAGAAGGCAAGTGTGTGAAGGGAGGCTGTAGAAGACGGCTACAGCCTCGGAAGGTCACATACAGACTGCTGTTGGTTTGTGCAGACAGAACGTGAGGTGGATTTCAGATGAGGCGTAACTTAAGAGACACATTTAACTCTGATGGTATTGACTGAGAGGGACTTCCTGTGAAACTGACAACACCCACACATCCAGTGACACACGCACAAATACACACAGGCTTTGTTTGACAATGGCAATTTAGAAATGTCATCATTCTAGCCTTACAGCATCAGAGTCTGCTGTCATGAAGAACAAAGTTGGGTGATTTTTTTTTTCTCTCTGTACTGTACTGGTATTGATTGTAAAAATAATCAAAGAAAATTGTGGCCCACAGCCCAGAGTGATTTAAAGCCAGGTACCAAGAAATAAGGGTCACAAACAGTGCAGTCAAGTTGAAAAAACAGAAGATGGGCAACAGAATGTGGGTAATTGGTGAGAAAATGGACGTGTAATTGAAAGGGAAACTTTTATCTCTGTGTGACATTGAAGGGCTGACTGCCTGCTTTTTTTTTGTTTTTTTTTCGTTTGTTGATTGCAGTTGCTGTCATGAGGATTAACACGGTCGCCAAGCTGAAGGATCATTAGTTCCTAATGTGAGCAAAAGGCAATGTTACAGCTCGGAGTTTTAAGTATTAGAAAAGATAGAAGTTTAATTGTCGTTGTACATATGGTTACATACAGCAGTATTTGCTCACTGCAATAAAATGAAATCCATCAGAGAAACTGGAGGAGTGGGCTGCACTTGATTGTGTTCATGAGACAGAGTGGTTTTGATGTCTCGTCAACGCACCACAGCCCTGCTGCTCATGGGATTTGCACTAGCAATCTTGTAATTACAAGGAAGATCTGCTGACCACTAGGCCTAGCCTTAGTGCAATAAGTGAAATGACAGGGGCATTATTAGTCCAGGGCAAAGTGTGCAGGCAGTTAGAAAGTACTAATGATAAATACTGAGCAGGTTTACAAAAACTAATGGTGAGATTTAAAAATGCTCCTCATAACAGACTGTCTTTTTGAAACCAGAGGCAATTACATGAAGAAACTGTAGTGCTGAACATGCATTGTTCTGTGAAGTTGTGCATCCCCATCCAAAGCCCACACAAATATTTATAGCCACTAAGTTGACAATTTTACAGCTATGTTTCCACCTCCAGTAATTTTCATCATTTTTCTCTGACAGAAAAGTTTCCGTAGATTTATCACAGACATAATTGTGCCTCTACCTCCCACAA